ATAGTAGAATCCATAAATTCAATATATAAACCCTCTAGTTTAATCCAATTCCCGGTAACATTAGAATATAAAGAAAAATTAGTTCAAACCTCAGCAATGTTAGATACTGGAGCATCTAAAAGCATAATACCAAAACACTTAATACCAGAAAAAGTCTTAGTAAAATTAAACTATAAAGTTAATACGAGCTAGTATAATATTGAGAAACTCCCAATAACTCATTGTGTTCAAAATATTCCTATATTAATTAATAATGAAAAGTTTGTTTTACCACAAACTTATGTAGTTAATAATATTCCTAGTACTTATGATTTTATTTTAGGATTAAATTTTATAAATTCGCTCACTGGAGGATTTATGTATACTCTTATGGGTTTACATTTCTTTTAAAAAGGAACCTTTATTCCTTCTAGAGATCCGTATACTCCTCACAAAGAAAAAGGAGCTATTACGTATATCAATACTTTACCTATAACAGATGACACTACAAAAAATCTATCTATAGCAGATGAGACTACAGAGAATCTATTTGATGTAACTGAGTTTATCGAAGATGTCTATGAAGCATTGATGTTTCTTAACCATTTAGATGAACTAAAGATTTTCCTTAATAATAAAGCTATACTAAAAAACCTAAATTAAATATAGATAACCTATTAAGATTAGCAGAAACTACTAAAATTTTGGGAGAAATCCCCAGAAATACTAGTATAAAAATAAAATCGAAGCAAAATTAAATGTAATAAATCCCTTTATAACTATAAAAACTCAAGATAATCCTTGTACCCTAGACGATCAGGAAGAATTTCAAAACCAAATTAAAGAACTTCTATTACTAAAAGTAATATGAAGGAGTAATAGTAGACATAGGAGTCCAGCTTTTATGATCAGGAACCATGCAGAGTTAAAAAGAGGAAAAGCTCATATGGTCATAAATTATAAAAGATTAAACAACAGTACATATGACAACAGTTATAAAATTCCAATCAAGATGTGTTAATTAATAGAATATAAAATAAAAAATGGTTTTCTAAATTTGACTGCAAGTTTGGATTTTGGAAAATCCGTATGGCAGACGAATCCATTAAATGGACTGCATTTACATGTCCTGAAGGACATTATGAATGGTTTATTATATCTTTTGGTTTAAAAAATGCACCTCAAGAATTTCAACGCAAAATGGACACCATCTTTAATAAACATTCAAAATTCTATTGTGTCTATATAGATGATATTATTGTCTTCAGTCAAATCAAGGAAGAACATAGGAAACATGTTGAACTAATATTAAATGAATATATAACTTAAGGACTCATTATAAGTAGCAAAAAGATGATTTTAGAAAAACAAAAAATAAAATTTCTAAGCTTATATATAAAAGGAGGCAAAATAGAGCTACAATCACATATAGTTGAGAAGATTTTAAGCTTTCCTGACAAATTAGAAAAAAACCAAGTTATTACAAGCATTCCTAGGATTGTTAAACTATAGTCGTAAATTTATTCCAAAATTAGGACAATTAGTAAGGCCATTATAGTCTAAATTAGGAAAAAATCGTCAAAAATATTTTAATACACAAGACATAGAACTTGTTAAGAAAATAAAGACTTTAGTCTCTCAACTAAAACCATTACAACTACCCCTTGAAAACAGTTACAAAGTAATTCAAATAGATGCATCAGCACAAGGATGGGCATGTTTACCTTTTCAAAGACCTACAAAAGAATCTTCTCGAGACGAAGAACAAATTTGTCACCATGCAAGTAGAACATTTAATAAAGCGTAATCTATATTACCCATCAACAGATCTAGAAATCTTAGGAGTAGTAAATTCTATTGAAAAATTTCAAATTTTCCTTAATAAAGAATTTCTTATAAGAATTGACTGTGATAATATAGTTAAGTTTGCAAATAAAGCTAAGTAACAGCGAATGTCTGCAAAAAAATGGATTTCCTTTATAGACTGTATCACTGGAAGAGGTTTTAAATCTATATTTGAACATGTCAAAGGAAAAGATAATTATTTAGTAGATATGTTATCTCGTTTACCACTTGATTGTTAATGAATGGAGCAAAGTAGCAACAATAGCTATAGCCTTATACCAGGCACCACTAATCCTCTTTTAATTATCCAAAACCCAGCTCAACAGTTCCGCGCTAGACATAATCTTTTTCCAGACCAAAAACTTATTTTAGATAATATTTGGTTCTCTAGAAATAATCTCGATAGAACATTCGTCAGAAATTTAAATACTTTAAGTGAATATTTTATAAAATCTAATAAAGCCTATCATATTCTTTAGCAAGAACACGAGGCACTCATATCTCATTATAAAAAGCTAAATTTAGCATATCAAAATGCTACAGAAAACCCCACAGCTGTACTAACCATGTCTTAACAAAGGTCTGAAGAAGATGAAAATTTTCAAAAGGTTCAATTTCTACAGGTACAGACTAAGCATGCCAATCTGTTACCCATCTTCTCATCAATTTATAGAGAAATCCTTAAACAGCAAGTCGAGCTCTTCGCTGAAGACATAAAAGATCTTATCCTTGAAGAAGCAACGTCTGATGGATTCAAAGAATGGGTTGATATACAAAATTAAAGGAACCCAATATATATAATTATTATTTCTTAAGACTCATCCAAACTGGAAACTTCACACCTACCATAGTCCTATTAAAAATAGATCTTGTACATTATGCTCCTATTAACATTACCGGGAAACCTGTTTTTCCACAAGAACCACCAGATGTTACCTAAGCAGGCTTTTAGAATTAGGAATGGTTTACACCATTACGATACCCAAAGACATGCCTTTAGAAATTTTAGAAGCCTTTAACTTTCCTGACCGATTAAACCAAGCCATCATTTTCGAACAAAAACAACCCAATATTACATGCCAGAAAGTCTAATTCTCCTTCAAATTCATAGCACTCCTCCAAAATAGGTCAAAGATGGAGCTATAATTCTCGGACAATATCAAATTTACATTCATTCTGATCCAACAGAAGTTCGAACCCTGACAAGGCATATTGATTTTGTTAATAATTTTCATAATGATATTGCACCAGCCACCTTTAACCATCTGATGTACTATAAAGCATATCGATAGTTTAGTCCAAGCTGTAACTCTGGCTTCAGACTATACGACCATAATGTAAATATGAAAATTTTCATCAAAGCCAGGATTGCTTACGTCATCAGATCTCCCCCAGAGATTTAGATCTCTCCAGAGATAGTTGAAATTATCAATGATGAAAAAGTATTGATTGAATAGATGGAAAAGGCTTATGAAGATGAACAAACCAGCTCGCCCGACAGCTCTGATGAGTATCTGGCCCGCATGCATGCCGGATTAGTATGATCCTCAGAAAGCATTTAAAGAAAAGCAGATTCACAACAGTATTTAGATAAAAGCAAATCCACCGAGAGCAGATTCTCAACAGTATCAAGATAAAAAGCAGATAAGATCCAAAGAAAGCAGACACAAATAGTAAGAGTATCCAGCAATAGTATTTAGCAATAATTCTAGACATCTTATCTCCAAAGCATCTTTCATCTCAACCGTCTATGCAACATCTGCAATTTCAACCGAAGATTCATCTCCCACTTTTCCTATAAAAGGAAACCCTTAGCTCAAGAGAAGCATCTCGAGTCAAAAAAACACCAAGTCTTAGTGCAATCAAGCTCTCTAGCCATCTATTATTTAGCAATAATTCAAGATATCTTATCTCCAAAGTATTTTTCATCTCAATCGTCTATGCAGCATTTGCAATCTCAACAGAAGATTCATCTCCCACTTTTCCTATAAAAGGAAACCCTCAGCTCAAGAGAAACATCTCGAGTAAAAAAACACCAAGTCTTAGTGCAATTAAGCTCACTAGCCATCTAGTTTTTAGTCTTTTGTAATTCCTTTCAAGTGTATTTCAGTGTGCTTTGTATCCATGTATAAACAGTGTGTATCTCTGTATATATTTTCTATGAAATAAAATCATCCAGTTTGCCTTAATTCAGAGTCTCTTTTATCTTATTTAGTCTTTTCTTTTCTTTCAGGCAAAAGACTTCTGTCCACAAAAGATTTAGTATATAGATTTCCTTTAGCCAGACAGTGTGGATCCTAGAATTTTCTTGAATCTAGCCAGTGCAAGCTGCCCTAGTTTTAATTTAATAATTTTTTATGTGAGTTGACTCAAATTGTTGGCTTGTTGGCCCATTCGTGCTGGTGTTCAGGCCTTTTTATAGGGCGTTATCAAAGCGTTATCAGGTTTGGTAGTCATTTCTGCGATTTAATTGTTAAATTTATCTCTATGATTATTGCATGTTTCTAGTTTGGCAAGGTTGAATTTAATTTTGGTATCACAGCCATACTGTTTCGTTAAAAAAAATTTATATCTATAATATTTTATTTAAAGAAGTCTATAAGTTCATATTAATTTACCTCGAGTTTTAAAATCTTTTCATATCTGAAAAATATTTAATGTTTTAAGACTAAAATAGAAAGTAAGTTTCATTTTATATAAATAATTGTGTGGTCCATCAATTAAGTGAAAGTCCATGACTTTGACCTCATGATGGAGTAGTATACACCTAGTAAGTCGATATATTAATAGTTTACCCAAAAAGAAAAACCCTAGTACATTTAAAACCCTAATACATACAGGTGAAGTGCAAAAAAAAAAAAAAAAAAAATTCTTGTGTTTTTAAAAGTGTGCAAATAATACTATGGTGTTCAAAAGCTATCCTTGTAATTTCAAAATTAAAAATTGTGCAAATAACTCCTAAAATTGATATGTGCAAGTCATGTGACAAAAAATGGGTCTTTAATATCAACAATGTCCTTTTGGAGTACCCAAACTACGCTTTACTCATTTTCTTCCTCATTTTTATATATAATATATATAATAATTTTTTTTAATTAATTTTCTTTCTATAAATACTCTATATATAATACACATATTTTCTATATATAATACTAATTATATTCATATTTCTCTCTCCTATTTCTATTATATCTCCCATTTTTATATATAATACTTATATTTCTATATTTTATTTATTTCTTTCACTCCTTTGTATTTGTATTTTTTATTTATTTTCTTCACTCTTAATATAATATAATTTTTATTTTCATTTTTTTATTCTTCATTTTTTTCTCTCTGTGAAGGTTCTTTCTCTCTCTTATAACAGGATACAGAACAAAAAAGCACGATGTCCACCTCTGCCGCGGCCCATGTGTTTGTGCAGATGTGAATAAGGTTGAGAGATTGCTTCGGTCGTATATCGTGAGGCTGTTTTTGTGAAGTAGCGGATGAACCCTATTTGTGCTTAATTACCCAAAATGATGTCGTTTAAATTTTTTTTCCTTTTTTTTTTTTTTTTTTGTGTGAGTAATTTACTTTTTGCAAAACTTTAATACTATTACGTAAAGAATATTTGGTAGCATTTTAGTATATTTATCTATCCCGATTCTTTATTTGCACAATTTTTCAAAATTACGGATTTTTGAAACCAACTTTTGATGATTTTTTTTTTCACCCATTATTCTACACACTGACACAGCTGTTTTCATTTCATTTTCATCCCCCAAAACCTGAAAACCAGTCCAAACCTAAAACCCAAAACCCTATAAATGTCTTCTTCGCTCGCTATTCGCCACGTCCGCCACCTCTCAACAATTGCGGCCTTTGCCGCTGCCACTGACGCCGCATTCTCCATCTTCAAGGCCATAGCAAAACTCAAAACAGAATTCGATCCAGACAAAGCCTTCGAGATCTATTCCTCTGTCTCCGGCCACTACGCCTCTCCTTTCTCCGCCCGCTTCACTCAGAAATTCACCGTTAAGCGCCTTGAGAAGTCTCACCAATTCTCCTACATCGAAAACCTAATCGAGTCCCTCAAAAATAACCCCGAAATCACCCAAGAACCCTACCTCTCTAGCGTCATTCGAGCGTACGGCTCTGCCGGCATGTTCGATCACTCCCTCAAAACATACAATCAAATGGAGGAACTGGGCACACCCAGAACTGCTATCTCATTCAATGCTCTTCTTGCGGCGTGTAACGAATCGAAGCTATTCGATCAAGTACCCCAACTGTTCGAGGAAATGCCTCAAAAGTTCGGATTTTTACCTGATAAATTCTCTTATGATATATTGGTTAAGTCTTACTGCAATTCGGGTTCGACTGATTTGGCAATTTTGAGAATGAAAGAAATGGAAGAGAAAGGAATCGAAATTTGGACAATCACGTTCACGACGATAATGCATGCTCTGTATAAGGAGGGGAAGAGTGATGAGGCTGAGAGAATTTGGAATGAGATGGTGGAAAAAGGGTGTTCGCCTGATGTCGCGGCAGACTATGTTCGGATAATGCATATCGGCGGTGGCATTGTAGGGTTGAAACCAAACACCATTACTTACAATTTTTTGATGGCTTGTTGTTGTAAGCATGGGAAGTTGGAAGTAGCTGAGAAGGTTTACCGAGGATTGAAGGGAAATGGGTGTCATCCGAATGTTTCGACTTTTAGGACTTTGATATATTATTTGTGCAGGAATGGGAATCATGAGAAGGGGTATGAGGTGTTTAAGGACAGTGTGAAGTGTCATAAGTTTCCCGATTTCAATACGTTGAAGCCTTTGGTGCAAGGGTTGGTGAAGAAATCTAAAAGGAAGGAGGCCAAAGATTTGATTCGGACTATGAACCCTTCTAACCTTTTGAATGCTTGGAAGAGACTCGAGGAGGATCTCGGTTTGGCAGCTGCTGATTCTTCTGTTGAAAACCAAGAGGAAGGAGGCAAAGGGTTTGGTGATTTGGTGGAAGGGTTGGTGAAGAAACCGAAAAGGAAGAAGGCCGAAGGGTTGATTCGGAGTACAAAGGGGTTCCCTTCTAACCTTTTGAATGCTTGGAAGAGACACTAGGAGGATCTTGGTTTGGCAGCTGCTGATTCTTCTGGTGAAAACCAGTCCTTCTGCAACTAGAGTGATTCACTTTGCCTGAATTTTGAGTTTCAGGGATGATGTGATACTGTGAAATTCATTCCAGAGCTTCCATTGAATGCTTGGAAGAGACACTAGGAGGATCTTTCGTAGCTATCCTTTATGAGTAAAGATTTGTCAAGCCAATGCTATTGTTGATATGAATGTTAACAATATCATCCGATGGATATAATCTGGCTCAAAAAGTAACTCTTGTTCTATATTTTCTATAATATGTCTACTAGTTTTCGCATGATTTGTTGGAAAACATCTTTCAGTTTTCACTACTCTGGTTAATTGCGTAGGGCGTGTGCTTAATGCCATCACAATGTTTGAATGAGCTCAAATGGGTGGCACTGGAAAGACTTAGGGGACCCGAGGTATAGGGTTTAGTGTGCGGGGATGATAAACAATGTTCCTATGCAGGGCAGCAGGACATGAGCCAATTTAGTTTTCTTATGAGCTCCTACTAATTTAAAGTTTGCATTTTGGAGATTTGTTTGGCTACATACAATAATGCTGTGAGGGATGACAACTAGGCGGGTTTGGAATGGAGTTGACTAAATCCAACATTGTCTAGTTGAAAAATCATCCCTACCAACTCCGCCTGTACTCCGGGATAGATTTTTTTTTAGCATGGCTGATTGCGAGGCTGATGGAGTTCGGACGGCTTCCTCCGTTTAATTTACTACAAATAAAAATCAATGCCATCCTCATTGAGATATAAAAATATAAAATAATAAACAAATAAACAACTCTAACATGAAGATAAATATATATATATATAGCTTTGAACCCAAGACGTGTTTTATTATTATACGGGACCATACTTCATTTAGGGTCTATTAAATCCTATGATAAGGCTAAATTTGTACCATCTGAATTATTGCCCATTTGGTAATTCATTGGCCTTATAAAAGTAGTATATATAGTATTTGTTTTTGAATGGTAAAAGTAGTATATATTGGTATAGCATTATCAATCTATTTGCAATAGGTCTAGCGCATTGGTAAGGTGAATGAATTACTGTATATAATTAGACGATATGGAGAAAACATTATGAAGTGTCAATTTTCCCACTTTTGTTCTCCACTTGTTTTTATCTGTTATCATGAAAAATATAATGATGCAAATTTTTATTTTATTTTTTCAAAAACTCTCACTCCACAATTATCTCAAATAATACTACTCACTCCATTTTTTATAAGAAACTTTTAGTTTTCTTTATTAAAAAAAAAAAAAAAAAGAAAAAAGAAAAAAAAGAAGAAGAAGCGTGTCAATGCCAAAATGAAATCTTGTTTTTTTTTTTTTTTTTGAATTTAAATATTTTTTCAAATAAATGATTTTATTTTCCCTACAATGTTTTAAAACCAATTGTTAGAAATAATGATCAGAAATATATTGCATTAAGGGCATGTTTTAATAACTAGAAAAAAAATAATATTAGTTCTTAGTTATGCTAGAAAAAGAAAATCAAAGTAAAGGAATGATAATTTTAACATTTATTCTTGTTTAGATTTAGATAATTAAAAAGAGAAAAGAATAGATACAATAGGAGAAACTCTTGCACAAAGAAAAAAAAAAAAAAAAAAAAAAAAAAGGAAAAACTTTTACTACTTCATATATATTTTTTATTTTTATTATATAATTTTAATAAAATATATAGAGATACTTTTGCAACCTAAACAGGAGGAAGATCTCTTCCGTCCCTGCCCTCGACTTGGAAGTGCAGCTGCTTCCTCTCTATCTACCAAGACGTGAAGTAGAGAGAGAGAAAGAGAGAGCCAGGAGAGAGAAAGAGAGGAAGGCGATGACGACTCGAATAGCTCCGGGCGTCGGAGCGAACCTGCTTGGACAACACTCGGCGGAGAGGAATCAAGACGCCACCGCCTACGTCGGCAATCTCGATCCTCAGGTTTTTCTTCCTTCTTCTTATTCCCTCTCTAACTTCTCTCACAAATCAGAGTTTCTCTCTCAAATGTAATTCTAGGGTTTATGTGCTTGTCTCTGATTCTCAAACTGATGGGTTGAGTGGCTTTAGTCGTTGCTAACTTCATGTTTCGTATTTTATGGTTTTCATTACTCATATAAAATGCTTCAAATTATTGAACTTTGGGGATGTTATTATTCATTAAGATTTACTTTCAAAAGTTCGCGTAGGTTGATTTTTGCTTGAACTTTCCAACGGCTTCAATATAGCTCTGATTTAGGCATTTTTTACTTTTCTGTAGAAATAAAAATATCAAATTTGTCACTTCGCGTGTTGGCTTCAATTGGGTAGGGCTGCCTCTTGTATTGGATATGAATTGTTCAATAAATCAGATTACTATTGCTTTACAGTATAAGGACCTTCTATCATACATAAGAAAAGTTACTAATGATTTTTATCACAATTATTACCTTCATAAATGAATAATTAAAGTTATCTTTTGCCAATCAGGCAATCACTATATGACGTCCTGTGCTGTAATGGTGAACGTTGAAAATTTGGCCATCTCTTTACTAAATTAACTGAGGCCCTTCATTGTCAGTACTCGGTAGTGACTTAAGTAAATCAGAAAAAATTGAAGCTGAATAGCTTGAGTGCAACACGAGTTATTTGCTTCTTGTAGTAAATATAATTTACCCAATAGCCTTTATGATGGATTAAAACATTCTACCTCACTCATTATGCAAATACCAAAGCAACACTGACATACCCTTGCTGCTTTGTTTCTCCTAGAACAAACACTTCTACTTACCTTGGAAAGGGTACAAATCTACAATTATGAACTTGGTTGGTAGCTGTGGTCATTTGGTGAAGATTATGCATTATATAAAATTATATTGTTGTATTAGTTACTTATTTAAAAAAATATTATTGTTAATGGGGACCACACTAGATAATGACCATTTTAAGTATAAATGAAAGTATCATAAAAATATCTGAACTAGTACATATTAGAGAATAAAAGTTGTAAACAATGTGAAGAAGATGATTTTCTTGAAAAAAACGTATATAATGAAGCAGGAAATTACTATGTACTGATAAACAAAAGGGGTCTACTCTATGGAGTCAGTAATTCATTTTCAGACTATGCGTGTACCAAAGGAGGATCTCCAAAATTAAATATTGATGTCAATGTTGCTTAGGCTGCTTCATACAGTGTTATGTGAGTTGTTGTGATGACTGCCGACCAGTACACTGTAAGATAACCTAAATTTTGTGCTGCTATTGCCAGCGCAATTTGGCATCTGGGGTGGATTTGTCACTTTCAGAGATATCCACAGTGGGGAATGAAGTCCCAGTTGAACAGATTGTTATGATGTCTAGTAACATATTAGCGGTTAGTTTTGTAGATCTATGCTTATTTGACGTTTTGTTGACCATGATTTTAGTGTACATCCATTCCTAGCAGACCATCAGCTTCATACCTCCAAAGAGAATCTGTGTCTAGCTGATCTGTGTGACAGTTAAGCAACCACTGCTTTAGGAGTTTTGACATCCTCACAGATTGAATGGTCACTGAATCCACTTTAGGGATAGTAGCTTAGATAAAGATGCTCACTTTCAGGTTTCTTGTAAGTCAACACCATTTTTTTCCCTGAAAGAATGATGATCCAATTTGAGCAATGCAATTCTGACACCCTTTCATTTTTGCTTATTTTAAAGTTTCTAGTAAGCCAACACTATTTTTTTGACTGAAAGAATGACAATCCTATTACGAACAATGCAAAATGGGCATAATGGTTTTTTATGTGAGGGTTTGTGACATTTATTGTTAAGTGTTATTCTTGCCAGCCTTTGATTTTTTTATGTGTGAAAGAAAGCAGTGGCTTTCAACTATTACAAGTTACAACGGGTAATTTTGTTTTGAGCACCAATCTTTTGGTTGAAACCATGAAGGTTTTTCTTATTTGATGTCCTAATGTCCGTTGCTTGTGCAAGTTGAGTAGATTTGCGGTAGAAGTTGTATAATTGGATAAAGTTAGTTTTGTACTTACTTAAATTACTTATGTAAAAGCTTGCTTTTGTATAAATTTTCAAACTGTGGGATTACCTAATTATTTTGATAAGTTCCAATGGCCATATGGTTAAGCAAGTTTTTCACCTTGGTGGTCACTTTTATCTATGGTCATATAATGGACCCAAACACCCACCTATCTACTTCTGTTTTGACATTTTTCATATTATATACTGCCATATTGCTGCTGGTCTAAAGTTCCTTTGGTTTGTCTTGTGTGCGTAGGTGGATATGAAATATTATGTCAAATGGCCACTGGTCCATGCCCTGTGATTTTTATGTATCATTTGGTTATCCTTGCTCCTTTACAAAGCTGCAAAAATTTAGGTGTATGGCCATCTGATATAAGACAACTAAGTTTGTCTTTTATTCATTTGGTAATACCCAAATACAGTCAATGGTAACACTTACTTCAGTGCTCTCTGCTAGATGAGACAAATACATCTTAATCAATGAAACCATAGCCTTAGTGGAAACCAAAGGTTTGATGGACATGTAAAATTAAAAACAGGAGAATAGAGAGATTCTCGTTTGTACATTATTTCCGGGACAATTGTTTTAGCAGTATCGTCTTGGAACTGGAGTTGATAAAATTTTATTGAATTATGACTGTTTTACATGTTACCCCAAAAATTTCCATTTCATATAGCCCAATTGTTATTTCTATGGAAACTTGGTAAAGGAGTATTGTAATTTGTCTAAATATTTCACAATTTTGCCTCATGTCTTGCAATATGAGAGTTTTATAATTACCAGTCCTCAAGCGTTTCTCTCATGGTTTACTCCTACATAGCTCATGCTTGTTCATTTCTGCTTACAGATAACTGAGGAGTTACTGTGGGAATTGTTCGTTCAAGCAGGCCCTGTCGGTAAGTTCCTGTTTTCCAACATTGTTAAAGCACTGTGTAAAATCTTAAATAATGAAAGTCATACCATGCAGATAGGCATATGTCATACTGTCAGCATGATTGAATGACTTCGCTATAGTTTCACATTTTTGGACATTCATAAAGTTATTATTTCCCCTGTTGTATGTCTTCTTTCTTATTGAATACACACGGTGGCTAATTCATATGATAGCCCACTCAAATAATTTTCTGTGTTATAGTATCTCCCTCTCTCTCCCTGCATCTCATCACAAAATACCTCAAGGTCAGGCTAGTTTCTTACCTCCATCTTTTGGTCTTTTGCACCTGAGTGGTCAATGTTTAACTCATGTCATATAATTAATATTAATTTCTCTGTATATCTCCTAAAATATATTAAAATAATTTGGTGATGGCTGTCTATGCATCAGATTGACTATCATTGTTTGTCTGTCTCCAACTGTTGTGTGCTTTATTATTATTTTACTTTGTTATATTGAAGTTCTAGTTCTCTTCATTCTGCAGCCGGTGCCTGTGCTTGGTCACTGGCTTGGTCATCATGTGCTATATCTGATGGATTATAGATTAAATTAGTTATGCAAGCCAACTACTTCACTTGCTGTGCTGGATTTGCCTTTATAATTTGTATAGTTTTGCGAACTAGACATCATCCTTAAATACTGAAACCAAAGGATGAATCTCACAACTTGCATTATTCCAATGCAATAAAGAGAAGATTTTTTTTTTTTTTTTTGATAGCACTTGTTCTTGCAGCATTAAGAGAATTCTTGGTACAGATAAAATCCTTAGAGAATTTTGTGTATATGTGTGTAATATTTTGTGTGTGTATTGAAGATTTAATGGAGGAATCAATGGAGGAAAAATAGCCCAAACAAGTCAACAAAAAACTGCCGGAGACACGGCAAACGAGAAAACTGCTACCGAACACACCGGTAGCCCAAACAAATCGATAAAAATTGCTGGAGACACGGCAAAAACAAAGATAATGCTACCAAACACACTGGTAGCCCAAAAAAGTCAATAAAAACTGCCGGAGACACGAGAAAGGCGAAGAACATTACTGCTGAACAAACCGGCAGCCCAAACACAAATAGCACCAAGAAACCCTTGGCAACATTTCAGATGCTAGGGAATACCCCAAAATAGGGGTCTGAACCTCGGAAGAGAAATTAGGCTCTGATACCAAGTTGTAAAGCATAAAACGGAAGCGAAGAGATAAATAAAACAACTGTGTGTAATATAAAATCCATTATTTGGTTCAATGGTAAAATGATGATGGACCCAGAAAATTGTTTTTTTGTGCGTTGGGGTTTTTGGTAGGGGGGATGGACCTTAAACAACAAAATTTCAACTACCATGTTAGACAAAAATGATCACTCTGAATCTTTCATAAAATACATACTTTAAAAATAGAAAGAAAGAAAAGCCAAGTACATCTTTATTAACAACATGTCCTTCAAAAGCCAACTCCAGCAGCCCCATAACATGAACTAGAACACTATTACAAGAAGTCAAGTCAACCCTAAACCAATAAAAAGTAATGGGAAAAAAAAAAAACCCAAGCATGAATCACAGAACTAGAACAACTTGAAAGCATCCCTCATGGCTCCAAACCCAAGAAATTACCAAAATAGAAAAAAACCCCAAACCCATGTACTGATGACCGTCAATCCCTCTTTGGGGAACCCTCTTGGTTTCCAATGCTCATCTTATCTACTTATAACAAAATCAAATTAAAAACGCCTAAGAGAGAGAGAGAGAGTCATTGACGGGCTAGGGCTATTGCTGGGCAGAGGCCTAGAGAGTGCGAAATTTTGACAGTGAGGGGGGTGAATTTGAAGACCCAAAACTTAGTGAGGGCAAGTTATATATGGGGTTTTTGGCAAATATTTTTGTGGGGCATTATTATGATTACAAAATCATATGTGAAATGTAAATAAAAAATATTTCAGTGGAGGCGCTAGGGTGGGTCCGTCCCTGATCTGGGGTTGCCAAGAGTGAGGGCACCCATCCAGTGTTTTTTTGGATATAATCCCAAGGGTTAGGCTGGATCTAATCGACCTCTCTAATTTAATATTACCTTTAAATTGGTTATGAAATCAGTCCTGAATGAGTTTTAAAAAGGATATGTCTGAGAATAGTGTTGGAAATACCCCAAGTTGTTTTGCATGAGTACTATTTCTTGCCACCCCAGAAAAAGAGATGCAAGGTTTTGTGAAACTCTCCCTTGTATATATCTTCAACCAACATCCTCCTTAGTATGTTATTGAAAAGGAATTCCCATGTTCATGCTTCTTATAGAATTTGCAAGAATGCATAGTTGTAAGTTTGTAACCATCCTCCTTCCTGTTTCAGTTAATGTGTACGTTCCCAAAGATAGAGTGACCAATCTTCATCAAGGATATGGTTTTGTCGAATTCCGAAGTGAAGAAGATGCTGATTATGTAAGTGTCACTCGTCACTATATGCTTTCTCTCGGTCTTTGCTAATATGCTTTTTTAGGTCATTTGGTTTATTAGTTTTGTTTGGTGGTATCCTTCCTGCTGCGAGTTCTTCGGTTTTGACCAGTGACCCTTTTCTTTTGTTAATGCAGGCAATAAAAGTTCTGAATATGATAAAGCTCTATGGCAAGCCAATAAGAGTGAATAAGGTGCGGAAATTTGTTTTCCTTATAACATCATTTGCTATTTCTTTATGCTTTGATACAGCATGTCAACTTAACAAAGCATTGTTACTAATGTCATGGTTCCAGGTTTGAAGTCTGGCCATGATACATCATTTTCTGTTTCTTGCCATATTTATTCTTTTTGTTTTTGGGTTTCAGGCATCCCAAGATAAAAAGAGCTTGGATGTTGGAGCGAACCTTTTCATTGGAAACCTTGACCCTGTAAGAACTTAAGCTTTCAAAACCTCTTGGTCAACTCCTCTACCTATATGTATATATTATATCCAGAATCTTAAACACATGCACGTGGACTTAAATGTGTATGTGTCTGATAGACTCTGATATAAACCTGTATGGCTGTATGCCAGCTTTTACTAACTAATACTGATGATCTTTGCAGGATGTGGATGAGAAACTTCTCTATGATACATTCAGTGCGTTTGGAGTTATTGTTACAAATCCCAAGGTCATGCCTACTTTGCCACCTCTTTCAATTTGCAGTTGTGCTGTGCATATTATAACCAAAATAGTAGCAAATTAAGTTTAAAGACTACAACATCTATAAGAAACTTACTGTAAAAGCAAATTAAGTTTCAATTCTTACTCAACAAATTTTAATTTGGTGTAGTCCTTCTCATCCCTAATAAAGAAGTCTCTCTCTGTCTCTCATTTTCTCGGGTGGGGGTTGATCATGTGGCTTTCATTATGCTTAAATCTACATTCCATTGCTTGACAGTCCAAGTTTTTTTGACCCATATATATATATATATATATATATATGTATGTATGTATGTATGTATGTATTTCCCTAACATTAAGAAACTCAAGTATTGGTTGGGACGCAGTCTCTTCCCCCTGCCTGTGCACAAGTTAAAGAAAGAAAATTGACAAGTTAACTGTAAATCCAATTTAGCTGCAAGAAACAAAAGCTAAAAGTAGTCACTACGCAATACCCACTTTCTTGGAATGCTTGGCTATGTTTGTATCCTTTATCTCAATGGTTCTAGTTTACGTTACAATCACAATAACATGTCTCTTTCAAGAGTATGACGTATGACGTGCCTTTTCATTTCATTTTTATGTCATTCCTTCTGTTACTTGTGTGGTTTAGACATTGTCCAAACTTGTTTTTATGGCATGTCATAATTAGGAATTTGGACATTCTGCGAGACGTAAACCACGACTCTATTAAAATAAAATTTCATGGCATTTAACTTAATATATTTGACTGACATCTTTGCATATATATATATATGTGTATGTATATATTTACTTGTGCATATTAATTAATTTGCTTAGCATGGCCATATAGAGATGCGCATGACGGTAGTGATAGGTTTGACCATTCGTATTATCTATATGAATGAATGGGGATTTATAATGGTGTTATTTGTAACTTGATCCTGATTATTTATTTATTTATTTTGGTGCAGATAATGAGAGATCCTGATACCGGGAACTCCCGTGGTTTTGGTTTCATTAGTTATGATTCTTTCGAGTCATCTGATGGAGCTATAGAGGTATTTTCCATTTGTTTATATTGTCATATCTTTGTAGTGGTTTTAAGTTCTTAAGAGAGACTTATGCCTCATAATTTAAAACATTAATGACCGAGTCAAAACCCTGTTGAATTGTGGTACTACTTAATTTCTTTTTTGTCTTTTACTTGGTTAAGAGCTCACTCCTGCATCATATCACTACTGTGCCAACTCTCATGTTATTCTTTGGGATGAATTTAGGCCTGTGACTTTTCGTTGTTTTTTATTTTCATAATTGACAGTTGAGTTTTCAAGGAAATAATTTAATTGCATTGTACAAATTTTTTTGTACTGATAAATAGTGTTTTGAGAAATTGAGCAATACTGTCAACGAGATCCTATATCAGGTTTAAACTTAAAAATCGTCCCTCCTTCAAGCCCTTCTTTTTGTAAAGAACTGCTTTCCCAGTGGTTTGGTTGTTTGCCAGTAGAACCAGATCCTGTTTTGTGACTATCCAGTTTCTTCAGAAGACAACTATATTATTCTGTTGATCTTTCTTTCCTGTTTTCTGACTATCCAATTTCTTCAAAAAACAACTATATTCTGTTGATCCTTTCTTTAATGAGCAAAGTCAAAGCTTTTATTTGTTTGGTTGGCCCTATTTGTTTGACAAGTTAGGGCAGTAGCGTCCTTGATTCCAACTAAGGTGTATACTGCACCCCTACTCCTATTGATGCCTGCTCTACTGCAATGTTTTCATCCAATAGAATGATGCTGGACATCTCGCAAAAGCAGTTGTGGGTTAGGGGTCAATTCTTAATGTCCATCAGAAAAGGTGTTGCATATCTCCAACTGGAAACCAATTGAAAAAATCTTCAACCAATTTATTTTTTGTAGATGCGGAGATCATTTTAATCAGTTACCATTGTATTATATTTTGGCTTATTAGCTTTGATGAAATGAATACCTATTCTAGCATAGTTTTGCAATATGCCAACGTCTGCTTTGGTTTCTCCAATATAGTTTTAGAAGGCTGGGTTGGTTTATATGCTTTCTATCTCTGCTTCTGCAGTTCCTCTCTATGCTGTGTTCTTTGATAGTTTTTTGTTTATAAATTTTAGACAATAAAAACGTAATTCTTGTATTTACAACAACATATTATATTTATTTAATAATCAATATAAACACATATATGACATAATGATATCTGGTTGTTCATCGATATAAACACACATTTGTCCAGCATGGCTTCTTTTGATGTTTTATTTAAATTGTATAATATGAATTGACTTGAGTGATAAATATTTTCTTCCTTTGCAGGCAATGACTGGCCAATATCTTTGCAATCGTCAGATAACAGTATCCTATGCATACAAAAAGGATACAAAGGGGGAGCGCCATGGTACTCCGGCAGGTGAGGCTTTCTTCTTTATCGAGTTACCTCTCAGACACACCCACCCCACCCACCATTAAACCTATTGCAAGGATGCAGAACATGCAATGACTCGTCGGAGTGGAATTTACATCTAAATAGTTCTTTCATGCATTAATGAACAAAACTTATTTTGGTATAATTTATAAATTATATACAATATTTTTATAGCATTCTGGATTGCTGACAGCAATGACTGGGATTAATCTATATGGTCCCACCTATGAATTGTGTACAAGAGGTGAAATCCATGATTGGGTAGCCTCCCATCAGTTTATTTTTGTAATACACACACCATATGGGTTGTGTGAATGTATGCTTATGTCATCTGAATACTTTGGGTTTATTCCTGTTACACATCACTAATTTGCTACAATGTAATGCAGAAAGAGTCTTGGCTTCCAACAATCCTACTACCCAGAAGAGCAGACCCCACACATTGTTTGCGAGTGGACCTCCTTCACTTTCAAATGCTCCGCAGGCTAATGGTACCATGGGCGCTCCAATACCTCCACCGCATTTTGCAAATGGAACTGTTCCTCCTGGGTCTATTCCGCCATTCCGCCCTCCACCTTCACAAGGCAGCATGTTCCCTCCCATGCAAATGCCTGGACCACCATCTTGGCAGGGTCAGCCGCAACAACCAGGTCAAACAGTCCCACCATCCGGTATGCCACCGCCACAGCTTCAACAGTTCAGGCCACCTCCACCAAACATGCCACCACCACCTCAAGTAGGTCAAGTTTTTCCAAGGCCTCCCCCGCCACCAACTGGGATGGGTATGCCACAACCTGTTTGGCGACCACCACCACCTCCACAACAGCTGGCTGGGAGGCCGTATTCTATGCCACAGATGTCAATGCCGCCGCCTCCCCCACTTAATGCTCCCCCACCACCTCCTCCTGCGTCAAGTTAAAGATTTAAAAAACCATTCCAGTTGTACTTTAAAATATTTTTGGATGCTAATTAGTATTATTCAGATTGTAAATCATACGTCACCTGAGTCTCTGATTAATGAGCGTTGGAAGAAGAGTTGAGATTTTGGAAATTGCTAACTTTTCTTCGAATGAGCTGGAGGGTTTTGTGGCAGGAAATCGAGCTCAATGTGTTACTAATTTCTCATGAACTAGTGCTGGTGGTTCTATATTTTCGTAGGTAAGACATTATATTCTTCTATGTAGTTGTATTTTTTCGGTGAGATATTTAGACAAAATGATGCTAAGGAGTGAGGTATGAGGTTGTGATTGATGAAGCAATGTCAGCCACATAGTTTGTTGTCTTTGTGAGTATTATGGTCTGAAAAATCTATATGAAAATAGATTAATCAAAAGCATAGATTATCCACCAAAAACCTTTATATGGTATGTTCCATCTTCAGACGCATAGCACAAACACCACTTTAAATTTGGAAAGAGGCCGGCGGCTTCCTTAAATGTTGAGTACACCATTTAGGTTTCATGCATGTATGAAAGAAGCTAAAGATTGTTGCTCAATTTGTTGTCTAATTCATGTATTTAGTAACTTTTAACTAACATTCTAGCAAGGTTTTAGGTGCAGAATTTTGGTCAGATTCATGCTGTGTTCGGTAGCAACGAACTTCCTTTGTACGGTAGAGATGATGCAAAGGACAACCCAGTCTTCCTATACAAATTTTTATTTGCCAAAAAATGAGTGGAAGAAAAGAGGGAAGACAAGGGCATTATAGAAGTTTTAAATTAAACACATTCCTAAATTATACAAGTTTTAAATTACAGTTTATCCTCTATAAATTATAATATTATAAATATTATGGGATATAATGATAAAAATAATTAAAATTTTATTTTTCTCTCTTAACATAGTAAATTATGAGTTTATTCTCTTCTCTTCTATCTAACTGAACAAAAAGGAAAATACACAGTTTCTTCCGTATGATGTCTAATCCATCCCTTCTTCTCTCCTTTCAATCCAATTTTTTTCTTTCCGAACAGAGCATCAAAGTAGCTCCAAATAGAGGGCATAACTAACTAAGGCGTGGATAGGAAAAATGTACCTTTTTTCTTAAGGAGAAGGATGGATTGTGACCATAGAAACAGTCTTATATTGTAAATACCACATGATCATTTGGAGGCTTTCAGTCAAGAAGGATAAACATCTCATCACACAAAAAGTGGACAATGTCCATTTCCAGGAAAGGGTTATCTTGACCAATCTTCTCCTGTGCATTTCATCCCGTGCCGCGTGTTGTACCATTACATCGCTTATGCATCAACCCACATGGCTTATGCAACAACTATGTTGCATCGCTTATGCAACAATTTTTTCATGTATTTGTTGCACTATGTGGTATGTTGCACCAGTTATAACCTAGCGACACAGGACCAAGGTACAAGATCCCTTCCACAAGAGGGAATCTGGAATTTTTTTTTTTTATTCATTGCAAGAATGTTAAGGTTTAGTGGTTAGAGGGGAGGGAAAAGGTGCAAAGCTCGAACACGGGCTCTCGGACACGAGGAGCAACCCAGCCACTCTAAGCACTTGCTAACTATATATAAACGAAGCATGCTATACTACAAAGTTGAGAATTTTAGTATTAGAGAAACTGAAACAGTAACATAAGAATTACCAAAGATGAAAAAGCCTTCATATGCTAAGTGACTACTGAGGATAAGCTTTTTCGTGTGTATGCTAAGTTTTTTGCAGGTAAAGAAGTTTCTGAAGTAACAAAATTCATGCTTGAAATCTAAGATAAGAACACCACAATAATTAACTTTATCTCATACATTTTCTTGCAATACAAAGTACAATTAGATTTTTTTTTTTTTTTTTTTCCCAGCAATTCAATATTTTAATAAAGTTTGCCAAGCAATTATCAGTTACACTAAAACCCAACATCTATGACCTCTCCTCACCTAAGATAGCCAAAAAACGTATGTGTCCTGCCATTGATTCACAGCTCAAATGTTTTGGTTCACACATTTTTTCAGGTCAGAGTCACATTCACCAACAGAGACAGAAATTAGTACTGTTCATATTAGGCCATGTAACACATCCTCTACCGACACGTATTAATTCTGTATTATCCAACTCATTCTTTTTCCCCTAACCCTCCTGCCCTATCCTTTACTTCTAAGCAGTGGGTTGGCCAAACCATATCTTTGAACTCCCAATAGGACAGTTCAGGACAGGTTTGAGTTTAAGTTAATTTATGGCTTGGAGATTTTAGACAAATTGTTCAAAGCAACAGAAGATTGAATAGGATCATCGTGTGGTACAGCAACATGCATTTTTCAAATACTTCATGTTGCTTCTTTTTTTTAATTTGCTACATTCCATTTTAACATAAACTGTAATGTTGAGTCTTGTATGGATATGCTTCCATGTGATCATATTGACCAAATTTAATGTTGAGATAAAAATGCAGCAGAACAGAATATAAACACAAATGTGAGAACCACCGAGCCATCAGCGAAAGTGACTTGTTTAAGTGGGAAGGTTATGAAATAAGATAAGAGGCCAAAAAACCATCAATTTTGAGAGAAGACATAACAGCACACATTGGAAGTTATGTATGACAGTTGCCAAAGCAAGACCCTTTACTGAGTTCGTATGGATTTGTTTTCTTTTTTCTTTTAATTCGCTTGAAAGCTCCATCTCCAATCTGTGTTTGTTGTGTGTCTTGTTATTCCACTTTGTCGTCATGCTTGCACTACGAAAACCAAACAACTTCAAATTCTCTTGCTACTTCGCCAGCTAATCCGCCAACAAAATAAAAATAAGTAGGCAAGTATTTGGGATGTGGAGATGAAGACAAGAAGAATTTAGTTTATACACAACATAGTGTGATGGTTAACTCATAGCTAAGTTCTCACTTGGACACTTCTTTTTGGTACATGTATCTACCTCTCCATGCTTATAAAACCACAAATTCTCCAAAAACAAGTGAGAAACACATGCTATTCTCTATCCAAAACTCTTTGCATAGTTACAAACTTCCTTCGAAACATTTGCTACGGTTCTGTATTGATACTATTTGAACTGCAGTCTACGTTCTAGACTGCGTAGACTGCAGTTCAAATAAAAAAAAAATTATACTGCAATTTGTTCTTTTTTTCCTTCAACTTTTTTAGTGAAGATCACAAATCAGTTTTCAGTTTCCACTGATACATATATATATATATATATATATATATATATATATATATATATATATATTTTACTTTCCTCTGATAATTTTCTTTTCTTCCCATCAACCTCATAAATAGGAAGTAAATCCATCCCCACAAAATATTGTCTCAAGTCAACCAACAGCTCATAAAGTTGAAACTCAACAAAATGTTTTCTGAAACGATGAGCTCAAAACTAAAGCGCGTTTGGATCACAGGACCTTTGATCATTGGTGCTGGACCTTCGGGGCTAGCAGCAGCTGCTTGCCTTAAGCAGAAAGGTGTCCCCTTTTTGATTCTTGAGAAAGAGAGCTGTCTAGGATCTCTATGGAAACGGAAAACATATGACCGTCTAAAACTTCACCTCCCAAAGGAATTCTGTGAACTTCCTCATATGCCATTCCCTCGAGAATTTCCAGCATATCCAACAAAGCAACAATTCGTAAGCTACTTGGAAGCTTATGCTAAACATTTCTCAATCGAGCCAATTTTTGGAGCAGAGGTTCATTTGGCTAGGTATGATGCAGCCATGGGGTTCTGGCAGGTGCAAACCAATGAGTCTGAGTTTGTGTGCCGGTGGCTCATTGTAGCAACCGGGGAAAATGCAGAACCACTACTGCCAGATGTTGCTGGACTCGCGGAGTTTGGAGGGAAAGTACTACATAGTTGTGAATACAAGAATGGAGTTGATTTTAGAGGAAGTAAGGTTTTGGTTGTGGGTTGTGGTAACTCAGGCATGGAGGTTAGTTTGGATCTATGTAATAGTGGAGCTCAAGTTTCTTTGGTCATAAGAGATAAGGTAAAATCTTTAATTCAGTCTTTCGTTTTTCACATTTCCATTTTAATGCCTTATTGACTTACAAACTAGTTCAGTGTTCTGTTCTGCCATTTCATTCTAACAATGTCTTCTTATGCAAATTAAAACTAGTTTGTTAAAGGTTAGGTTTTTTAGCTATCCTGATTAGCTCTAAGCCTCTAAAGTCATGTGTCATTTGTTTTTTTCTTTTTCATTACTTACGTTTTTTTATTTATTTATGATTTTGCAGTTGCATATTTTGCCTAGAGAAGTGTTTGGTAGATCTACCTTTGCTGTTTCGATGTGTTTGCTAAAATGGTTTCCCGTGAGATTAGTTGATTGGCTTCTCCTCCTCTGTTCACGGGTGATTCTTGGAGACACGCGCCAATTTGGTATCAAAAGGCCTGAAATCGGTCCCCTAGAGCTCAAGAATACTATCGGGAAAACCCCAGTTTTGGATGTTGGAGCTGCTGCTAAAATCCGGTCATGTGAAATCAAGGTTAGTGCTATTTTTTTTTTAGTATGTCATATATGTTTAGCACCGACCTTGATTTCACCTCATCATTGTACTTATATGGTTATTTTACTAATTAGAAGAACTTGTATATCAAAAATCATGCACATAAAGGGAACATGTACTACCTACAAAATTAAAGCAATAAGATTAAGCTTTTATAATATAATGACTAGAGCATATTTTAGTATGCTAATATTCATAATGAATTATAATACTTATATGGTTATTTTACTAAGAAGCTAAAAGGTAAGATCATTAGAAGAACTTGAAATTTTAACTGCAATATATCAAAAATCATGCACATAAAGGGAACATGCACTACCTACAAAATTAAAGCAATAACATTAAGCTTTTATTATATAATGACCAGAGCATATTTTAGTATGCTAATATTCGTAATGAATTATGATACTGTTTTTTCAGACTTCACATTTCAATATGACATAGGGTTTAAACACAAATCTACCACTAGAAAAGATAGTGTGATTGCATGCACGTCTGCAATTTCTTAAGCTGCATGAAATCCTCAGGTGGCTGGTGGTATTCGAAGATTCACAACCAGAGGTGCAGAATTTTTGGATGGAAAAGAAGAGGAATTTGACTCGATAATTCTAGCAACGGGTTATAGAAGCAACGCAGCATCATGGCTAATGGTAAGTTGAAGACCTCTACATAGACAAATATATACATTTATGATTGGTACAAGTTCCTCATTTCCTTATTTCTACTTAACATTCTTTATTATTTCAATAATAATTCACAACATTTTTCTTCTATTAGGAGGATGATTTCTTCAACCAAAAAGATGACTATCCGAAAAGCTCATTTCCAAAGAACTGGAAGGGCGAGAATGGAGTGTACAGCGTCGGTTTTACCAGGAAGGGATTGTTGGGAGTTTCGATTGATGCACAAAGAGTAGCAGAAGATATAGCAAGGCAATGGTACTCTGAGATGAAGCCCTTGTCTCTCAAATTTTAGCCTAAATGTAACAAAGGACAACAGTCAACTAATATTTTTTTCAGCTCACTGTTCTTCCTATTTGGCCGAAAACTTAGTCTTGTTGTTAGCAGTGTGATGTAGTAGACCTAGTTCTCAAAATCGGAGCTAAGATATGGTAGTGGTAAAGTTTTTGTTGTGGCTTGCACAATTTTAAGTGCATGAGGTTGATTCTTAGCTCTCTATTATTTGTCTCTTTTACAATGACAAAAATAGTACCGAATCATCATCAGCCAGGACCGGCTTGATTATGTATATGAAAACGGAATTAGAATATAAAGCATACGGTATTTCTAACCATTACTGATCTTCTTGAACTTAATTTTCATTTCAGTGTCTTTCGTAATTACTATATATGATGTTAATAATGTCTTCGATCTTCTCAGGCCTAATACTACTCATGCACTAGTCTGAATCAACTTTTCAGCAGCCAAGAAATCATGCCATAAAATTCTGTTTAGGCACTTGAATCTAAAAGCTTGAATCACCCCCTTGTGTTCTATGTTTGTGCTTCTGCTACAATGAAGAAGTCTCTCTACAAGCTATGTCACGGTTGAGATAAGGCTTTGGCTGTTTTCTTACCTGTCATAATCCATCAAAACTAGTTTTCTTAGCAATCAAAAGCAAAAGTTAGTCCAAACAAGTCCATGAAGGAGGCTTTCAAGATTGAGACAAGCATTTGCAAGGTTCTACATGCGCATGTAAACCACTTTTTATTCCATTTTGGATTGTTGTGCAATTTTCAAGTTGTCACATAAGTAAAAGGTATTAATTAAACCTTGTATCTTTCACCGACGCGGGATGGAGGAAAATCTTGAGCAGACATAATTTTTAGCATTATTTTACACAAAATGACTGACCTCGAGACTCAAACTCTTGTCCTCAAAAAGAAGAATGCAACACAAAAAGGTAAAAAACCATTGTTAGGACCAATGGGCCACTACTTCAATGGTATAACCTCTCCTCCCTCGAAGGAGAGGCGACATAGTGGGAAATTTGTGAAATGTGTTGGCCGAAGAGCCCAACAAACAACGTTGTTCAAAGAATACAATGGAGATATACATGGTTCACCCAAAAATTAGGGCAACATCCATGGAGCGCACCGAACAATTCCACTATGAAAAAAATAAAGAATACAATAGAGAATTTCTCTCAATCTCTCTAGATTGCTCTCTCTTGTGTTGGCACAAATTAATCCCTCTTCCTTTTTCTATTTTCCCTAAAATCTTATTAGAATTGATATATATAGTCCTAAACAGTAGAACTCAATTTGTCCCACAAGAACTTGCCTTTTTCTAGAGTCCAAAACCAATAAGGAAATCAAATCCCGTAGCTTCTCAAGAGAATTGAACCGATTCAACTTCACTTGAACCGGTTCAACTTTGTTGTCATACGTGGTGCATTCACTGCCCAACTTGGTTCAAAGGCCACTGAACCGGTTCAACTTTTAGCCAAAGTCGACCCACACTTGAACCGGTTCAAATCTGTCAGTAACCAAAATAGACAACCAATCAATAAACTTGAACCTCCCAAATCCATCACGTAATCAAGACGTGATTAGACTCCACAAAAAGCATAGCAAAATGTGTGTGAGTACTTATCTAATTGGAACAAGCAGCTAGCTTTTCTTGACAATTTGAGTTTCGGTGTCGAACAATTTCACACCCTTCAGCTCAAAGACAAAGCAAGACAGTGCCAAGGTTTCAGTGTCCAACAATTTGAGTTTTAGTTCTTCTAAAACATGTGCTGAGACTGATCCCACTAGCCCAACTAGGCTGGTCCTTCCTACTTCTGAAAAGATCCTCTGCATCTCCCAAGCTCCATGGTCCAGACAATAAGTTCAGCATACAATTGAATGGACCACCATACTATGCATTCTAGAGGCTTTGTTGCAATGATTTTTTGCTTTTTCAATAGAAGTCCTACTGTTGTTAGTCATCGTATTGTGTTTCAAAATTCAGTGAATGAGTGTAAGACAATAAATCTTAAGAAGCTTGGACACTGACCGGGACACTAACATGATAAGATATGGGATACACTAAACATGCCAAATTTTTTAAAAAGTAAGACACATAGGCGGTTGATATAAATATACATTTTTATTTATATACTATCTATTGAGTAAGACAATTATAGAACTATTAAATTTACATAAGTTGAAAAATGAAACTATTGAAATATTAAAAAATATATATATTATATTATATGACATAGGAGTCTGGTTATGTACCCCGTTTTCATTCGGTCTCTGCTTCATGACAAAGAAGATGAGTAACCAAATCGGTTATTTGGCAGTAAAATTTGCAACAAATGACCCTCAAAAGTAAGTAAATAGATCCAAAACATATAAAATGAAGTTACTATCCTATCTTATCATTATAGTTATATTTTTGTTCATTACATACCATGACAGGTGTTTAATGTCAATTTTTTAAAAGAAAAGAGGTTAGTTCATAATGTTATTTCTAGAATTGTCATGGTTTGTTATATATAAGGCAAAGAGAGTGGGACTTGTTTGGAAGAGTGTCAGGAATGTATTGACACGTGTCGACCAAGTGTCCAATATGTGGTGACATTTGCTCGAAATAATAAAAGTTATTTTTAAATTATGGACACAACCATGAAGGTTCAAAAAGTGTCGGTATCCGAAATGAACACGACAACCTCGTAGAAGTGTCCGTACTCCTTAGAATAGAACACTGCTGAAATCAAGGCAAATAATAAAATATAGTAGCACAGAGTAGTTATCCCAAAGAAAAGGAGGAGGATGAGATGCTAAGAAATAAATACAATAGAAATTGCTCATGTTTCTTCAAAAGATATTTGTGAGGAGATGCCCACAGTTCGCTTTGCGCTAGACAAGCGCTCATAGTTTTCAAAATGAACTTTTTTCTCCAGGTTATATGAGACACTACATATAACCCTTCTAAGACCCAATGCTCCGCTAGGGTGGCCCTCATGGGCTTGTACACGCTTCCCCATTTATATAAGGATATCACAACTTTAAGTTATTTCCATTTCATTATGAAAGTTGTATAAATACCCATCAGCACATTTACCTCTGCGTGGATCATCCAATTTTAACCTCTTCAAACGCCAGCAACCCTATAAATCATAAAGAGCAAGCATTATCATGCTTCCACCTTGTTGATGTACACTAGATTTCATTGTAAATAACTCAGCAATTGAAATGGTTCATAAGTAAAGTTAGAGGCACACAAAATATCTACTTCAAAAGTAACCATATATTTGGTACCGTGGAAAAGAAAAGAAAGGATGACATCACTCACAAGATAGAAAAGAAAAAATTAGTAACACTATACCCCTCTCCATAGATTTTCTCTTTTATAAAATAAGTACTATGTATAAATTTGGTATTAACAATTTTTTATTAAAAATGCTAAATTTTCTTTTCCTTCCTTTTATTTCTTCTCATTTTTTTTGAACGATACAAAACAAACTCATCAAGCTTCAGTGTATTTCTCCAAATCCATCCATTTCTTTCTAAAATTTTATACCAAACACAAAAAAACAGTATCCTTCCATTTTCTTTCTTTTCTTTTCCTTTCCATTTCTTTCCAACCAAACTGGGGCTAAAGTTAGGCCAACAACATTTTCTGTACCTTTTTGTAGACAGCAGAAGAATTAATTCAATAGCTTTGTAAAATAAATAATCAGTATGTCATTTATTAAACTAAAATGCTAGACATAATGAGTTGTTGAATAGTAAAATTTTGAGAGGTGAGTGAGCAGAAGTCAGAAGAGGACATCTTTGTCATAGGATGTTAGGAACATGGGCCTAACATGAGGACACTTGCAAATGCAATGTCTGGACCAGAGAGTTCAAGAAATGTGTTGTTGTCATGAAGCATCCATGGTTGTCATTGCTCTAGGATTTCAAGTCAAAAATATGTTGCTCAATCATTGCTCCACATAGATAATTATGATAACAAAAGAGGACAAGCTCTTCTTATTATATTTTTATTTATTTTATTTTATTTTATTTGTACAAAATCATTGAAAAGGTGGTTTCCAAAAACATATAAACCACTCCCCGCTCTCATGTTCCCAAGTGTTAGAACTTACTTAAAACTGGTTTAACATGTTGAGTATCATAGTGTTAAAGTATTTTCCCTAAGTTGCTACCTTGTAATTACAAACTATTCTATATTTTCCTTCCACTTTAAGAAGGATATATTATTCAATGTGTTAAACTCTTTCTCCTTATATATATTGAATATTCCGGGACACCTATTATGTAGTACTTCGATATGGTCAAGTAATATTCACTATTTCCCTCAATAATAAGAAATAACAACTAATCATTCTCTTTTTTTTTTCCATTCTCTCATTTTTAAATAAACGCATGCATGATGAGATTTCCCTCTTTTCGTCCGTGGACTCAGGGGAGAAGCTACATACAAGCCAGTGGGGGCGATTGCCCCCCTAAATTTTTTTTGTTTTTAGTAATAAACTCTTATAATTTTTTCATTTTTAGTAATATACCCATAAAATATTACTTTTGCTCCCCTGAAATTCCTAAAAAAACGCATTATTGCCCCCAAAAAGTTATTTTGATCCCCCTTACCTTACATCCTAGCTCCGTCCCAGCATGGACTCCCTTTGAATGACATTGGTTTTGAAACCTTTTGAGAAAGAAACAACAATGATGTCAGAAAAACGAGATGAAATATAGGGTTTGATTGGATTGGACCACCAAGGGATTGATTATTTAAGATCGTCTAATAATTTCTCTTAGGAGTTAGTAATTCTTCCATTATTTGACCATGATCTTCTTTCATTGTGGAATTTTTGAACCACTTGTTCTCTTCATTGGATAAGAAATGAGACAGCAAAAAGTAAGAAATCTCTACATGGAATTTTAATGCTAAGAACAAAGTTAGTTTTGAACTAATATGTGTACCATGTGGATATATTTAGAAGCCAAGAATAATGAGTATGAGAACCCTGTGATAACAAGAGTCACGAGCTTTAAAACTGTCTTTTTTTTTTTTTTTTTTTTTTTAATTTGTCAAAAGCCAATATTTCATTACTCCTTTTATTAGAGAGTTCTCTTAAAAGTATTATACTTTTCAAAATTTAAAAGATCGTACATGCTACTCATCTTGAATCTAGGTTACAATAACGTGTCAATCTATGTGGCAATGGCATGTTGACTAGGGCTGCAAGTTGGGCTGGCCCAACCCAGTCCAACCCGAACCCAACCTCAACCCGAAACGGATTGGGTTGGGTCAACCCGAATTGTACTTAACATGGGTTGGGTCATAACCAGGAATGAATATTTTCGGGCGGGTTGAGTCGGGTTGACGGGTTGATTTTTAATTTTTAATTTTTTCCGAAATTTATATATATATTATATATATTTAATTATATTATTATTAAAAAAATATATATTTTTAGGGCAAATCATTTCAGCCTCCCCCAATCGCCTCCATCTCTATTCTCATTCTCGAACTCTGAAATTGCTCTCTCTCTCTCGCTGCGCAACTACAAAATTAACAAGAATCAGAAGTTCAAAACCCATATATTTCAATTTATCTACCTATCTGCTAGAATCAAAAGTTCAAAACCTAGTACCTATATCAAAACCCATATCGGCATATCATTTCAAATTGTTCAAAAAATTAAAACCCATTTCAGATTCAACTGCTCGTCGTCTTCGTCGCCGTCGTCGGCGATGAATTGCTTCCAATTCTCGGAGACGAAAGCGATTCTTGGAGATGCCCAGAAAGCATATCAGCCACAGTTTGTGAAGATCGAGGAGCACAATTTCTGCATGAATCCCTCTAAGATCAAGTACAATTTAATCACCATGAATCCCTCTCAGATCAAGAACAGAAGAAGAAGAGACTCCCATGGCCATGGCGAGCGACGAAGATACGATGGAGAATTGTTTGGTTCTCCTCTGCATCGAAGCTGTGTCGTACTACAGAGAGAGAAAAAAATAAAATAAAATAAATTGGATTTCGGGTTGAGCCCGAGCCCAACCCGAATGTGTCCGGGTTTTGACAAAACCCAACCCGAACATGAACCTAATTTGTGAATATAAGCCCCAATTTCAAAATTTTTGAACTGGGCTGGGTTAGCCCGCCCAAGTTGCAGCCCTAGTGTCGACTAATAAGGGTTTTCTCAACCTACCGCCATTTCATAATGAATCCGTACTGTGAGTGAGCGCTTGGAGAAACTCACAGTGGGTTCAATACGATTGAAGAGGCTCTTATTCCCCTATCGAAGACAAGTATTATAGGTCGAATCTTCAAATACCTGTTAAGATCTTCCCCGTTCAATTTCTACATCAGATTTAATCTACTATAATAATTTCATTACTAAAATATTTTTCTTTGAAAAAACCAAAAAAAGAAAAATTAGATCAAAATATACCCAAGATATCAACTCATTTACACAAAGACCAATTCTGTTTCGACCTGTCTTGACCCGGCCCATGCACTACCAAACCATACAAGTTCAAACTTCAAATAAGAGAGCATTCTAATCCTTCTAAATAGCAAGAGACTTCAGTTTGTAGGCATATAGAAGTCGAACATGTCAAATTTAAAAATAGAAAGACATAGGAACACTTCTAAATATTCTTATTAGTGTTTTTATTCTATTTTTTAGACCAAAATAATATCTTTTATTTAAGATAGTCCAATATAAACGTGACACAAAGTATCCATCCCATATCCCATATCCCATCATCTACTCGTGTCACGTATCCCATCTACTCACGTCGGTTGACACGGGTACTTCGAAAGAAAACATAATAATTAATTTACTTAACCCCAAAAAAACATAACAATCACTCTACATAGAACATGGAAATGAAAACTCTGTTCAGCCAAAAATGTAATTAGAAAGACATTTCTAGATTTATACTTGTTTTCTTTAAATCAGTTAAGTATGGAAAAATGGTTTGGAGTCCCAAACTCATAAGCCGAACAGAAGAGCCTGTATTCATGAGGTACAAAACCATTGAGGGAGGCAGGTACCTACTTCTCTGTTCTGCAGAACAGTCTCAAAAGTGAAACGAGTGAAAAATTACATCTCAAAATTCCATGTACTCTCAGCACTTAATTTCGGCATCTTTGGTTCCTCATTCAAATTGACAGACGCGGACATCTGGCGGTCATGAAAACAAAATTGAAAGAAAATTATCAGATTTTAGTAACAAGATGTTTGACTGAAGTTGAATTAAAAAAACATTAAAGCAAAAATATAGTAACTATATCAGAAAAATAAGCAAGTCACCTAAACACATTATCAACCACCAAAAAACGAGTTCTAAATATTAACATTAGATCCTTAATATCAATTTTGTTAAGTAAACAAAATTTGGAGGTTAAATGATAGTTGCAGGAGACTCGCATGACATGGACAGTTTAAGCATTACCAACGTACCACTGAAACAAACCAATCAATGACTGGGAAGTTAAAGATACTACTCTTACAATATAAATATAGGCTACACCTACATTTTCCGGGAGAGGAGAGTGCCTATCGTCATTTTAGAAAGACGATAATCCTCTTCATTGTAACTCTGACTGCAGTGTTAATCTTGCAAACTTTGTATAAATTTTTGTGTCAAGATGACCTAATGATATAGGTGCACCCAAAAAAAACCAAAAACAAAAAAGAGAAGAAGAAGATCAGATAAGCTTGAGGAAAACAAAATTGATAAAAAGAATATATCGGACCTAAATATGTGAATATGTCAGTTGATATATCATAATCAATATTTGGTATCAGAACCTGTGTCAAAGAATGACATATACTAGTAACAAATCATGGAATTAAGTGGAACTTTGGAAAATGTTAGCAGGGAGAGATGTTAATACATTATTTGGAGACATAATTTTGGCGAATAAAATATGTTTTAGACAAGAATGTCATACATAGGGTACAAAATTGAGCTCTAAGAATTAAAATAAAAACCCCAGTAAATTAAATACTATAAAAATTAACTATTTCAATTACAAAATGAAAATATACTCTCTCACAAATTCATCCTAAAGTGCTAAACCTACAACTCAAAAGCAACCCAACCTACACTAAAATCTTATAACTTAAGATGTGTTTCGATTGGAACATCAAGTTCAATTTGTGTTGATATCAGTTCATAATCGGATTAAGTTTTGGTCGATTGCCAGGCCTCCATTATAAATTAATAAAAGTTGAGACGGGAAAAAAAAAAATTAGTTACACATTTTACATGACTAATAAGGGAAAAAAATCCATCATGTAAATATATATATATATATATATATATATATATCAACTCGAGTTAGATTGCGAATACAACCCGGGTTAGGTTCGTGTACCTGACACCTCAACCCAAATTGGACAAATTATTAGGTGGTCCGTGACCACAATGTCACGTGGTCCCGACCAATCCCAAAAGGTCACGTAGCATGATGCATCAGTTTTAATAGCACATCAGCAAGATGCGAACAAAGAAAATGGCTTGTCACTTTCTATTGCCCCTCGTATAAGTACAAGATTTCAACACACACTCTCCCACTCACTCTACAGTGACTGTAAAGACCCATTTGCTTCTATTTTCTTTGGTTATGTAGAAAGACCCTCTCTCTGTTCTTTGTTTCTTCTCAACATGATCATCCGGATAAGATGAATATGCAATATCATCAACACTCAACAGTACATGCATATTCAAAACTTAACGTCTTTCACAAGTTATTTCATGCAAAAATTCATCCAGTAATACAATATCTACCAGCAAAAACCTTGTTCATGAAATATTTAATTTATTAATATATATATATATGTATATATATAAACTCATAGTCAAAGCCTGAAGAAAAATACAGTGCAGTATAACCAAACTCAAATTGGTGGAGAAAAATAGTTCCTGAACACAACAGATTAATAAAAAAATAAAAGTAACTAAAATATAATGCTTGTATAGTGTATAGTACATATTGAAACCCACTTACCCACTTAATGAAACCCTAATAAGCAAAAAAAATGCCACATTAGCACTGAATTTCTCAAAAAAACTGTTGGTATGTAACCCTCCCTCCAAAATAGAGAGGGGAATGGGGTTGAGAAATTGCCTAGATTCTTTGTGGTGGCAAAATCGATGGCAAATGAAAGAAAATTTCAAAAAGTTCAGATATGTATTTTTTTTTTTTTTCCCCTTTCTTTCTTGGGTTAAATGGATCTGTAGTGATTACCTGCCTCAAATCTGTAAAGCAAAGTTTTTGATGGAGAGAAGGGAAGAGAAAAGGTGACGAAGAATGTGAGAAATTGAAAAGGTAGAGAGAGATTGAATAGAGAGGTTTGTCTTCTAAAAGGTAATATAGAGAAACAGTTCATTTTGAATAAGGGATCAGACCTACTTATCAGAAAAGAAAAGAAAAAGGAAAAAAATAAAAATAATATGGGTTCAGACCTACCCTACTGGAGAGTCTCATGGCATTAAACTGAAAGAATCTGTTTGATGATGCGATAAGTCATTTATAAAAATAGTTGATAGGGCCTTTTGGGATTGCTCAGGACCACGTGGTGGTTGCAGATTACCTAATAATTTCTCCCAAAATTAGTTCTGTTTGAGATTTCTCAACCCAGTCTAAACCTGAGTTTTGAAAACACTGTCAAAACTTGTTTAAAAAACAAACAAACATACAAATTGTATTTGGATTGGACATCCTTTGTATCCCTATGATGCATTGTCCTATTACACTAATTAATGTACCTAGAACGGTTGCAGTCAACTCTCACTGCAGTGATAAAGCTAAATAAAATTGAACAGGTATGAATATATTATGATTTTGATATCCTATATATGTAAGATATATAAAGAGTCGAAATTGGCATCCATTCGAAAACAAGAAATACTCTTCACAGATACCTAGTGATGCAAAAACCATAAACAAGAGTCGACTATACCCATTAAAGTTTTTCATTCCTTTCATTGGGTCACAGAAAGACATCAAATTATGCAAATTGAATCCATCTTCTACAACTTAAATGTCACCTATTAATATAAAATAAGAATTTACCATACTAAAATGGGGCAAAATTACACATGAATATAGTAAACATCTGAAATGCAGTATATAAAGAAAAATAAGGTTTCAAAATCACTAAAGTTGCCATACCTTGAAGGTTCCATTAAACTTGGAATTCCTCGACCATTCCAATCCCAAAACCCTGCTCGACGTCTGATATGAAGCCCTTAACATATCATCATCATAAACCTTCTGAGACACTGCAAAGTCCCATGAATTCTTTGCAAAATCATAGCACGGCTCGAATGTCGTCCCTCCTCTATGCATATAACTGTACTTCACCTTGCAATTCCCAGAATTGAACTCGTAACTACCGGAGAGCTTGTTAGCCGGATCGACCACAAGAGTCCCGTCCATCACAACCCGGTTCTCACCCTTCCCGTGAGTGTAAGTCAAATTCAACGGTTTATCCATAACACTAACCGTGTTCATGAATTGAAACCGAACATCCTACTATCACAAACCCAAAACCAAAACCCTAAATCTCTGGTCGATAATAAAAATAAAAATAAAAAAATCATACGACAAAAACGAAATCTAAAATTAGAACCAGAACACAAAACCTCCAATTAAGTGAGCAGGATTCAGTCTCCGAACTTATTTAGAAGATATTTTCAACATTTTCAAAACCGAAGTTAGATAATAGAAGTACAATGTATTAAACAAGATTTTCTTTTTTCTTTTTCCGGTTCTAATTCCTGTGTTTTCTCAGCAACCAAACGGAGGGTGAAGTGTTAGGGAATCGGTAATACCTTTTTGGGGACGTTGTAGTCGATGACGAACGAACCGGGCTTCTCTACGGAGAGAGAGAGGCTGTTCAAGGAAGAGCCATCGAGGAAAGTGGCGTCGGACATTGAGGCTCGCAGCTTGACATCGCCGGCATTGACGGCAAAAGTGCCGGCAGCGCCGCTCTTCTCGGTGTCGTATTTTCCATTCAGCGAAGCCTTCATCATCTTTGCTATATTATGTGTGTGTTTCTGTGTGTGTGAGAGAGGGAGGGTTTTGGGGTTTTCAAGGGATTGATGAGTGTGAGGTGGAGGGAACGAGGAGGGAAAGAGACAAACAAACAATCGGTGGATTCGATGTTCTCTCTACCAATCATGAAGTGCCACATCATTAATCCGGAGAGTAGAGAGATGTAATTGGGCTGTGTAACTGAGCTTTACGTGAGAGTGATATGGGCTTAGATGGGCCACTGGCCCTTTTTTACTTCCCTACTTAGAGAAACAGGACAGCCCAATGCTAGCTTCATTTTATAATTTGTGATCGGGCCAATTATGAATCTTGAATGAATATTGTTGTCATTATGTTTAGTATCTCTTGTGTTTGCCACTTTGCCCTAGGAGCTATGCTTCTACTTATTATTACTTTATGTATGTCTTGCAGTTTATGCAGCGAAGGGTTACAAACTAAGTCACACAATAATTCATATTGAGGGTCGTTTTTACTTTTCGAGCACGTTCTCGTTCTCGCACTCCGTATGTGCTCTCACTTAAATTCTCACTATTTATGATTTAATTTTATCTTTTCGCACTCCCGTTCTTGAATTCGCTCCCTTTCTCGCTTTATGTGATCTAGGTTACAAATATGAATTTTTGTGTACGAGTACAAAAGTTTGAAATATTCAGTGAAGAAAGAATCAGTGATTGAGAAGGAACTTTGGACTTTGGAGGGTTATGGTGTATGCCCCACACGCAACTTTGTGAATTTGAATCATTTATTTTTTACTCTAAAAGACGAAAAAGTATCAAAAACCCCTGTAGTGAAATAGGTAGTTCCACTATTGATTTGTCAAGAATTTTTAAACAGAGTTTCGTAATCTTTTATCTTATTTTAAAATTATACTGTGCATAACGAAGTTGTTGGGAGTCACTCTGCAAAGCTTGTCTACCTGACGGCGAAGGAATATAATAATTTTCACTATTTATTTTAGATATTTTTTTTGGATGTGTTTAATTTTATAAAAATATAAATTAGTATAGAGGGAATTGCTAAAGGCAAGCCGAATAATGCCAATAAAAAAATAACTCACTAGCGATACCGGTTATAAACTAGCGATACCGGTTATAAAGGAAATAAACCTAACAATTCAAAATAGTCACAATTAGAAATCACATTTATGAAGATATATACTTTCTTTTTGTCTCAAAAAGAATGTCCGTTTTGGAGAGTAGAAATTTTTAAAAGAATATGTGAGTCATGTATTGTTCTCTTAAAAAGTTACTAACTTGAAGATATAAAATATATTGTTTGAAAAAGGACAATTATAAAATATTTATTTTGGAACATCTCAAAATAGAAGGGTGAATTTTTTTTTTTTTTTTGGAATAGAGGAGGAGTCATAGTCTACCAATTTTCTCATTTACCTTATTATAAATGAGATAATTTTAAAAAGATAATGAGATATTTTTAAAAAGAAAGATGGATAAATGTTCTAAAAATGTTCTCTATAATGGACTTTAGTGGAGAGTCCTAAGACTTTTATGCGTATATGCATCGGTTTTATACATTTATTAATACAATTGAATGAAGGCAGCCATCAAATAAGTGGGAGATTACCCTGCTGTAATAATGTGATGTGTTTTCAATGTCAATAAAAAGTAACCCATCCAATGGTATTCAACATTCAACTAAATAAAATGCGTACCCCTCTGTTGCAGCAGGTTTGTTATGTTCGGATTGATTTTGGCTCATCCAATTATGTTTATTCGTATGTGGCGATAATGTGATAATTTAGAAAATATTGATAATGGTTCGGAGAAGTAGAATTTTTTCAATAACGAAAAAATTTTAGAGATTTGAAGATTAGAAGACTTATCTTGGTTACAAAAAAAACTATCTGCACATTTATATTTCTCATATTCTAGATCCTAATTCGCACATTCTCTGAAAATTTCCATTCTACAAAATATCAAACAATGGTATATTTGTCCTATTCCAGATCTTAGATTATTTTTATACAATTCTTCACAATTTGTTTTAAAAAATCTAACTAAATTTTACTATCATGTACAAATGTATATACATATTTTTGTTTTGAAAAAGAAAATATTATGAGGTTGATTCACCTCTCTAACATCAGTTAAAAAAGGAACAATTATTTTGGAAGGGCTAGAATAAAAAAATTGACAATTAATATGGAATCGACCGTAACAAATATACGAGTGAAATAATAATAATAATAATAATAATAATAATATAAGCATGTTACCTTCAAATGTAGAAAGTGAGAGATACGGAGTTTCAACTTGTGACGACCCGTGTTTCGAAAAACCCGGTGCATCTGTGATTGACCCAAAACTGATCCGATAACGAATCTCAAATACGGAAGCAAGAAAAGGGTCTCTAGAGATGGACAACACCTCTAAGACACCAATGTGACTTCCCAAAAAGTCACGGAACTCAAAAGAAAACAACTACGGAAGCTAAGGTTTGAACCGGACAAAAAGTGTCTATAGGGGTAAAATGGTCTTTTTAAATAAAAAGTGTATGCTACCGTGCATACCATTGGATAGACAACGAAAAATCAATAAACTTTGATTCAAAAATCACTTAATTTGGAGTTAAAACGAAAAAGATATGAATTTCCAAAATTTTAAAAAAATTTGTCAAAAATGTCTAGGAATGATCGCTCTGAGTGAACAATGCACAATGACAACGAAAGGTGAACAGTGAACAGTGCCTGAGCGATCGCTTAGGGCCAGCGAACAATGAACAGTGGATTTGCTGCGACCATGTTTTTTTCAAAAACGTGACAGAAATAAATGAGCGTGTAATTTCTTGCCAATAAAATAATAAAAAATTATTGTGAGGTGGATGGACTGCCTGACTTGCAACCTCCAGCTCTCTAATAATCCATCAAGTGGGCACCTCATGAAACTGGAGAGTAGGGTGTAATTGGGCCATAACTGGGATAAGCAAGTCGAAGTTCATCTGGGCTTAACTTGAGAGTGGGATGGGACTTGGATGGTGTAGTTGGGCTATTACTGTGATAAGCAAGTCCATATTCAACTGGGCTTTAGTTGAGAGTGCTAAGGGCTTATATGGCCCAATGGCCATTTTTCCAGTCTCTACTCAGGAAACAACAGTCAATTGTAAAGTCCCGCCTATAAAGTACCAAAATAAACATTTATGTAGGTAGGTTTACAAATAAACATCTTGTCATAAAGTACCAAAATTTGAAATTAGTGAACACTGATTGAGAATGGAACTTTGGAAGGCTATAATTTATGAGCTATGAAACATTGAAACTGACAAATAATGTGAGTACGATACGATACGAACAAAACAAGCTCCTAAATTTTTCATCCCTCATTACTTTCCCACACATAATTTATTATTTTAAATTATTATGTGAGTAACTGTGTCGTTTTTAGTAACCTCAAAATCTGCATGTTATCATTGTGATGTCCTTAGCTTATGTCAAATCACTATTGTTGAATATCTAGTATGGATCTGAGGCACATTTTCTTTTCGGAATTATTGTATCATGTTACTCCTTATTTGTTTTTACATTCTATTTTTGTTATCATATTTTTTAATTTGTTGTCAAGATTTGAGGGTTTGAAATTTTCTTCTGTCATTTTTAAAAATAAATAAATTGAAGTGTTTCACGACTATTTATTTATTAAAAATTTATTCAACAATTTATTAATTATATATTCATGCATTTGCATAGTGAAGCATAGAGAAATCCCCGAAGTAGTTTGCCCCTTCTATCAGAATGGGAAAACAGTGTTCGCTGTATGAAGATAAAAAGTAATATTAATAAAAATAAAAGACATTAAAATATTAAGAGCTTATTTTATACTGCAGTTTGGAATGTCATCTTTAGACATTCTTTATTTTAGGTTATTTCAGACTACATAGTTTGCAATTTTAAGTAATAGTACGTTTCTACCTGCTTTTCTTGAAAGTTTTGACATTTAAAAATTAGAAAATCTTATTTTTCATAGACAACCTCTCCTCATATTTATAGCCAGTCATACCTTCTATAAATTCTTCCATTTTTACAAAATATTGGTATAATTCTCATATTCTAGATCTAAATCACACTTCTACGTATATTTCTCATATTTTAGACCTAACTCACACCTTCTCTAAATATTTTCCATTCTTACAAAATATCTACAATTTTATATTTGACATATTTTAGATCTAACTTACACCTTTTCACTTTTCTAAATTTTTCCATTCTTATAGAATATCTACAATGGTACTTTTTTCAAATTTTAGATCTAACTCAGACGTTCTCTAAAATTTTCTATTCTTACAAAATATCTACAATTATATATTTCTCTATTTCTAGATACTAACTCACATCTCAAAATTTTCCATTCTTACCAAATATGTACAATGGTATGTTTCTCATATTTTAAATCCTAGATTTTTAATACATGTCTGTCTAAAAAAAATTATACTAGCATGTATTGAAGCATATACAATTTTTAGTTTTGGAAAAAGAAAAAAAAAAAAAAAAAAAAATGATTCGTGTCGAACAATCTCAAGGAGACGTGTGTTTGTAATTTTTTAATGATAAGCAAATAGTTACTTTGTTTCAAGAAAAAAATTAAAAAATAACACTAAATTGTATAGTCGTTGGTGATTTTATTTATTTATTTATTTTCAAGTTTTAAGATCCATTTGACATGCGTTTTGTTTTAGGTATTTTGTTTTTGGTTAAAACATAAACAATATTTTTGCTGTAGGAGTATTTTGAAGGAAAAAAAAAAAAAAAAAAATCTGAAGCACGTTTAGAAATTATGTTTTGCTGTGGAAACGTAATAAACAGAAACATGTACAGTAATTATTGTGGGTCATGAACAGTTATCAAAATAAGAAAAAAAAATCTTTTTGGTGTTTTGGTTTTAGGTCACTGTTCACGAAATATTTTAGCATGGTATAAAATAAAATAAGGCCGCACCAAAACATATTTTTGTTGCCAAAATCGATACTGTAGCAGTCCAAAAATAAAAATAACATAAACAAAACGCATACCAAACGAAAACTTAGGGCCCGTTT